CTACTCGGCCACACAGCCATTGGGGGTAGACCCCCCCCAATCCCTCCCACCAGCCAGGCCCCGCCTGTCCCCATCCACACACCACCTAGACTGGGCTCAAGCCACGCTGCTTCCCCCAGAGCCCCTCTGACCCTCCGCCAAATGGGCAGCCATGTGCTGCCACTGAACACACAGGTTTGCGCCGCTGTCTCCTCCCCTCCCCAGGCGGTTTCACTGGGAGGAGGTGTGTGTACACGGGGGTGGGGGAGCTTTTTAATTAGCAGCATGCAATTCCCACTCCTGCCTTCGCTGAGCATCTATAAACATTTTGCATGTCCACAGAAGTTTATTAGCAAGCCACAAAGCCAGGCAGGAGAAACGCACAGGCTCTCATTAAGGGGCAGTGTGACTAATGACGCATCAAATGAGTAACCGTGATTGCACTTAAATCCAAACTAAAAATCCTGCTATTTGCCATGCTGGCCCCTTTGCAGAATGAGATCCCCAGGTTTTCATCGCCGAAACCACCTTCCAGGCTTGGTCTGCACATGGAGCAGAGCTGGCGGCTGGGTCAGGTGCCCTTCCTTCGGGGGAGGGGCGGAGGGGGGGGTGCCCTGCCGCTGTCTCCCTAAGGCAGATCCTCCAGGACCCAGGGCGACACACAGCAGGCTGTCTGCCCCCTCAGGGTCGGAACCAGGTCTCCCAAATCCTAAGCACTGCGGGCCCAGTTCTGTAAACACTCGGCAGCCCTTTCCACCCCGCCCAGGCAGGCGTGGCCGCCCAATCCCCAGCACCCGCTTCTAGGGCTTCTGAAGGGCAGCCCGAGAGTCCCGGGCGGGAGCGAAGAGACCCAGGAGGTGGCAGGTCTCAGGACACCCCCGGGCTCTGTCCAGGGCCTTCACGGCAACGCTTCCCTGCTCAGGGCCAGTGCGGACTTGCTGTGTGAGCTGCGGGCACTCCCCGAGCCTCTCTGGGCCTCTGGGCTGCTGCCAGAGGCTCCTCCGCAGCAGGGACACCCGGCCCGTGGCCTTCCCATCTTCCCGGGGATTCCTGCTCTCAGAGCTGCAGGGGCTCATCGGGGCCACCCTGGGTAGACCCTGGGAGCGCTGTCAGAGACGGGAACTGAACAGAAAGACGGGTGGCCCCTGGAGATAAGAGGCCACCGAGCGCCTGGGCCAGTCCCTTACGTCTCCTTGTTCGAGACAGGTGGGCGGCAGCCGTTGAGGGCAGGAACGCCCTTTCTGGGCTCTGCTCAGGGGAGCTGCTCTCACCCCTCCCTCCTGTTCCCGAAGGGCATCTGGGCCCTCAGATGTGCCACTTGCTGCAGCAGTTATGTGTTCAAGAAGCACACACTGAGGCCTGGCGCGGTGGCTCACGCCTCTAATCCTAGCACTTGGGGAGGCCAAGGCAGGAGGACGGCTTGAGGCCAGGAGTTCAAGACCAGCCTGAGCAATAACGAGAGCCTGCCTCTACTAAAAATAGAAAAATTAGCTGGGCGTGGTGGTGACGCCCATAGTCCCAGCTACTCGGGAGGCCGAGGCAGGAGAATGGCTTGAGCCCAGGAGTTTGAGGTTGCAGTGAGCCATGATGACACCTCTGTACTGTAGCTGGGGTGACAGAGTGAGACTCTGAGACTGTCTCCAAGAAAGATAAAAAAGCAGCACACGCAGAGCACCTGCTATGCAGCGGGCTGGGCACAGGACAGGTGACACGAGGGCTGTGTGGTAGGGGTAGAAGTGGGCACTGAGGGGGTGCCCTGTGTCCCTACCTGGCAGCCTGCTCACAGGTGACCACTCACATCACCAGAGCCTCTGCCGATGTGTATGGAGTGACCAGGGGCAGGAGCCCCCTCCGAGGGGGCCATCCCAAGTGACTCTGGACTTGTCCCTCAGCCCCGGAGCAGGATGGGTGGGCACCTCACAGGGCACGGGCGCCTGTGGGGCTCTTCCTCCCTCAGTGGCCTCCAGGGCGCCCGTCAGCAGCGAGGGGCCCTCGGCACGGTGTGGCGCAGCTCAGTGTGGCCGGGGGCCGGAACCACAGGCGGTGGACCGCAACACAGCCGAGTCCTCACCACCCCGAGGTCCTGCCAATGGGTCTGACCTGGACACAAACACGGGCCTCCCAGGCCCCGGTCTCCCGGGGGGGGCTCCCTCCTGCTTCAGGCCCCCCCGGGGAGGGGGAGCTTCAGGGGCTCCCTTGTGGGGGGCCAGTTTGACTGCAGAGGGGGAGTCTACTTCTACCTTCGCAGGGATGGGAACTTGGCAGGAAAGTACCAGAAGGAACCCAGGCCCTGTGCGGCTGCTGCAGGCACTGACCCCGAGTCTGCTGTGCGTGTGCAGAGACGGTCCCAGGGCCAGGCGACCACTCTGCGGCTCCCAAGCCGGGCCGGGGACCAGGCTGGAGGCCGGGGCTGCGAGGAGCTCAGTTCACATTTTCTGCTGATCCCACTCCCAGAGGGGCGACCAGGGAGGCGGCAGGTGGGGTGCAGGGGGCAAGACCAGGGCCCGGTGACCACCCTGTCCACAAGGTCTGGTGACCCCCTCCTTGCCCCCTTGTCCCCGTGAGAGGAGGCACTGCGAGAGGCCCCGGGCTGGTCAGTGCCGCGTTATGAACGGTCCAGGTGCCGAACGGTAAACCGGGGCCTTCGCGGCCTGAAGACCCCGCCTCACGCCCGGTCCCCTTGCTCCCACCAGCCTGGGGGGGTGGCGAGGTTCCTAGAGAACAGCACAGAGGGTGAGGGGAGGATCCTGTCCCCCCCTCCCACTGGGTTGGGGTGTAGAATGCACTCTCCACTGGAGACGATTTTATAACTGTTTTTGCAGAGACCTGCCCAGGAAAATCATTTGGCTTGGGGCTTTTGGCTTTGAGTGGAGCCGGGGTGTACCCCTCGGGGCAGATGCTCCAGGGAGGCGGGTGGCTCAGACGGGGCCACCTGTGGTGGGGCCCCGTGAGTGCTGGGCCAGGGCTGGGCAATGGCCTCTTTCTCTTTTTGGTACCTAGTGGGAGGGGCCTCACTTGATCGGACCCCTGGCTGGGTCAGGAGGATTAATACACTGGGGTTAACCCGGGCGGGGCCGGGAGCGATCAGGGCATGGCAGACTCTTCCCATAGCCACCCTGGGGAGGCCTGTGCGGATGCTGCTGCTGGGTCATCTGAAGCCCCACACTTTGGGGGCTGCCACAGCAGGGTGGGTCCCCCTTCACTCTCCCTCGTGTCCCTCTGTGCCCCATTGCCTTGGATCACACCCCTGTCCTCCCTGAGGCCCAGGAAACAGCTCCTGCTCTCCCAGGTGCCTGACTGCTGTGGCTTTGAGCAGGTACAGACCGCTGACCCCTCTGTGTCCCTTTCTCTGGCTAACCAGCATCTCCGGGGTTTGAACCTGGGGAGTGAAGGTGCTTTCCCATTCCGCTCTGACTACCGCCCACCTCCCATGGGAGCCTTGTTAAGTGAGCATTCACTGCCCTCCCCCCACCTGCAGGACACCAGTGCCCTGGAGCCTCATGGGGGGGCGGGGCCTGCCCTGGGGTCTGATTGCAGTGGGAGGGCAGGACACCTGGGGGACCCCATGAGAGATAGGGGGTGGGAGGGCAGGACACCTGGGGGACCCCATGAGAGATAGTGGTGGGAGGGCAGGACACCTGGGGGACCCCATGAGAGATAGGGGGTGACCTGCAGGACACCAGTGCCCTGGAGCCTCACAGGGGGCAGGGCCTGCCCTGGGGTCTGATTGCAGTGGGAGGGTAGGACACCTGGGGGACCCCGTGAGAGACGGGGGTGGGAGGGCAGGACACCTGGGGGACCCCATGAGAGACGGGGATGGGAGGGCAGGACACCTGGGGGACCCCATGAGAAATGGGGGTGGGGGAGCAGGACACCTGGGGGACCCCATGAGAAATGGGGGTGGGAGGGCAGGACACCTGGGGGACCCCATGAGAGATAGGGGGTGGGAGGGCAGGACACCTGGGGGACCCCGTGAGAGACGGGGGTGGGAGGGCAGGACACCTGGGGGACCCGGTGAGAGACGGGGACCAGTGAGTGGAGGAAGGACCCCCAGACATGGCTGCTGCCCGTCCTCCCTGTTCCGCCCCCTCCCGGGCCAGGCCCAGGCCTCCTCTACTCCCGCAGTCTGTTTGGGTAACTCAGCAGCCTGCTGATTTTGGGGACATGGGTGCATTTTATCTGCACAGCGGCTTTGTCTCTGTCCCTCTGAAGTAGGAAAGGGTGTTTGGGCCGAAAACTGATGCGGAAGGGAGGGCCGCGCCTTGTGCTGGCGGGGCCAGGAGGGAGGCCAGTGGGTGTTGCACTGGGCGGGCCACCCAGGGCGAGTTCCTCTCGGACCTCGGATGCCACTGTGGGCTCCCGGCCCCACCCATTTCCGAGGCAGGACACGCTTTGCCCCCGGACAAAGGACCTGAGGCCAAGTGCCGCACATCAGTTACGGCCGGCCGGCACGTTCCTGTGGACTCAGAGGCGATGCCCGGCTGCTTTGCGAGCTCCCTGCCCGATGGCAGAGGCCTGAGCGGGGCGCTGTGCAGAGGCCTGAGCGGGGCGCTGTGCGGAGGCTCAGAGGGAGCCCCCGAGCCCGGGGAAGGTGGGGGGCTAAGCTCGAGGCCCCAGGCAGGGTGAGGAGCCGGCCTGTGTGGGGACCTAATTGCACGCGGGATGCTGGTGCAGAGGAACCGGGGTTGAAGGTTGCGAAAGCCATTATTCACTCATTCATTCACTGTCCTTCATTCATTCCCATTTATCCAGCCATTCAGCAAACGTTGGTAACGCGACACTGGGGAGCAGGATGCCAGCCGTGGGTGGGGAGAGAAGGAAGGACGCCAGTCTCTGCTGGGAGGACAGGCCAGGGAAGGGGGGTGCAGGGGGCCTCCAACTCGGAGCCTTTGAGCAGGCCGAGCTGCGGGAGGGAGGAGCCACGGCCAGGACCCTGGGGCCGCACCGCGAGGCCCTGGGGACCGTGCTTTGCCTTCTCAGCCAGGCTCCTCAGTCTAACCCTCTCCCTCTGTCCCCTGCAGCAGGCGGGCTCCGGCGAGTTCCGGACGCTGCGGAAAGGCTTCTCACCGTACCACTCGGAGTCCCAGCTCGCGTCCCTGCCACCCTCCTACCAGGATTCGCTGCAGAACGTACGTGCCCTCCCCCGCCCCGAGGACCCCAGATGCTCGCGTGAGAGGGCCAGGCTCCGCGAGTGGCCAACCCGGGCGAGAGGGTTTGGGCCCCCGTCTCAGCCCAGCTCTGTGTCCACCTGGACAGGCAGCGGGACAGGGCTGGGGCTTGTGGCCACGGTGGCCTCCCTTGTCCTCTGCTGTCTTCCATCCGCACCCTCCCAGCAAGGGGCGCTGGGCTCCCCCAGCCTTGGCGCCCCGTGAGGGCCGAGTCTTGTGTTTGGAGGTGGAGCCCCACGTCGGAGGGATGCTGCCAGAGTGGGGCCGGTGTCCAAGCCCGTGGCGTGGTCACAGGGACTCACTGGGCCCCGGAGAGCCCGCGTCCGGCGCTTGGGCCCCCGGGAGAGTGAGGCCCTGGCACACCCGGGCAAGTGTCCTTCAGGGCTGCCGGTGGGTGGCGGGGCGCAGGGGTACATCGGGTGGCTCTGGGGTGGGTGTCACGTCCTGACAGGAGGAGCCAGGCTGTTGACAGGCCCCTGGGGATGGTGTTCTCCCCACCTTTGTTTGGTTAGTTGTCTTTGGTTATGAGCATAACAGTTGAGTGGCACAAAAGGTGTGTTCACAAAGTTGTGCAGTCGTCACAAGAGAACATTGTCATCACCCCAAAAAGAAACCCTGTACCCATCAGCAGTCACCTGCCCCCCACCCCCTAGCCACCGGCAGCCGCCAGTCTACTTTCTGTCCCCACGGACTTGCTATGCTGGACATCTTATAGAAACGGAACCATACAATATGTGGCCTTCCGTGTCTGGCTTCCATCACATCTTCAAGATTCATGACTGGGGGCTGGGTCGGTCTCGTCGGTGGGTGGCAGGTCTCCCCGCACAGGGGATGCTGTTCGGCCGGAACAGCGACGGCCATTTCCGTTGTGTGGCTGTGGTCAGCTGCGTGGCTGTGAATGCTTGTGGACACGCACTTTGTGGACGTTTGGTTTGTGTTCAGTTCTCTCGGGGGGACACCGGTCCCCCCACTTCTGGCATCAGCTCTGGAGGTCCCCGACGTGGGTCTGAGGCCCGGCCCATGTCTCACAAGCTGTCTGGTCTGGGCAGACCATTCTCAGCCTCCGCGCTCTGCTCACCCCTAAATGGGCGCGCCGAGATGCAGCGTCTGCTGGAGGGTTGTCGCAAACGCCCGGTGGCTGGTCTGCCCGGGCAGGCGCTAGCCCAGCAGGAGAGCCGCAGGGCTCTCCCAGTGTGTGGCCCCAGGGGGCAGGAGGGGACACGCAGTTCCAGTGCAGCTTCGGGGCGAGCTGCACCTGGGGAGCACAGGACAGGAAAGCCAGGCTTTCGCTACTCCTTATGCATGTTGTCTAGTCGATGGCATCATTTGCAGGACCCCAGGCCTCACTGGCACCGCCACCACCCAGTGAGGGGGCAGGAAAGGGCTGGATGGCGCAGCCCACCCCCGAGGCTGCTGCCCCCTCTTGCCTGTGCTCCAGGTGTCACCGCCAGGGAGCAGGCGGTCCGGGACCGGGCACGGTGGGGGCATGAGGCCAGAGGTGCCAGGGGCCCGCTGACACGCGGTCTTCCCCCAGGACCGGGCGGTGGTGCCCGCAGGGGCACACACACACCAGGGCCAGGCCTCCCAGGGCCGTCCGCGTGTGGCTGGCGCCCCCTGCTGGCTGATGAGGGGAGTGTGGCCTCTGCCTCAGGCCGGCCGCCTCCCTGGCCGCCCAGGGAGCACCCCTGGGTCCCTGTTTGGTTTCCCTGCACAACAGGCTGGCCTGGGCACCTGAGACCGGGCCCCAAGGCCGTGGGGCCTCCAGAGGTGGCTGGCAGAGGTCCAGTGCCCCCTTAACCTCAGGGAGGCTGGGTGTCTGTGGGCACAGCAGGAACCGGCAGCCTGGGAGGCCAGGGACAGGTGGAGGCCAGGCGGGTGGGGAGTCCAGAGCAGTGGCCGCCAGGGCGGTGGAAGGTTCTGCATAGTGCAGCCGGGGCAGTGTGGCGGTGACACCGTGTGGGCTGCGGCTGGGCAGGGTTCCAGCCCAGGCCACTGCGTCTGCCGGGCCACTAGGGGGGGTCACCGGAGGTACGCTGACCGGGAGGGAAACATTCCATTTCCAAGGCTGGCTGTGGCTGCCTGTGGGAGCCGCAGGATGGCCCGGACGCCCAGGGGACATTATTCCCTCTCTCCTGTCCCTGGGCGCCTCCCGCTATTTGCTGTCTGCTCTCGGCACTCGCAGGTCCCCTCGAGCCCGCTCCCCTTGTCTTATAAGCTGGTTCCTGGGGCGCCGAGGGTCCCTACCACCACCCCAGGCCAGAAGCCTGGCACCCTGCCCCACGGCCACCTGGACCCCACGGGAGGGAAGCTGGGGACCCGGCCCATGCCCTGCCAGACCCTCAGCTTCTGCCAGAGGCCAGGTCCCCTACCCCAGGCCTCAGATGGGAGCTGGGCGCCTGGGGCCGATTCATCCCCCAGGTGGCCGGGCCAGGGCCAGGAGAGGGTCCTCAGCCCTGGGCAGTGCTGGGGTGGGAAGGGCGAGGCCTTGCAGTCAGCTGGAGCAGGGTTTGAATCCAGACCTTCCTCGTCTTGCTGTGTGATTGGAGTCTCCAGCTCCCGTGTTGCACCTTGTCTGCAAAATGCCACACCTGCGGGTGGGCTGCTGTGGGGGCCTGCAGGACACAGTGGTGCCCCGCACTTCTCTTCTCGCCCCACGCTGCGAGGGACCGCTCCATCTGCAGAGGACCTGGCGTGGTGCGATGGGGCCGGGGCTCCGCGGGTGCCCAGTCCTCACACCTGCTTCCTTCGTCCCCACTTGCGCCTGGGCCCTGGCCCACACAATCAGGGACCTCCCTCAGCCGCCCATCACGCCCACAGCCACCACCTGGGGGCCAGCCAGGGTGAGCTAAGCCTGTGATTCCTTTCCACAGGGCCCGGCCTGCCCTGTTCCTGAGCTGCCCTCGCCACCCCCTGCTGGCTACGGCTCTGCAGGACAGAAGCCCGAGGCTGTCGTGCACGCCATGAAGGTAAGGCCCACCACCTGCTCTCCAGGAGGTGCTAGGTGCACTGCTGGGCTGTAGGACCTGTGACCCCACCTGCCTTCTGAGTCTGGGGGCATCTGAGTGGCAGGGGTGGGGTTTCATCTCCATGCCGGTGGCTGGTGACCATGGCGGGCACTTCCCCAAAGCCAGACAGTTGGCACGGGAGGGGCTGGAAGGACTCCCAGGCCCTGCCTCTGGGCAGCCGTCGCCCTCACAGGCCCCAGGTGCAGACAGGCAGGTCCACGGTGCTCTGGTTTCCCCTGGGGCTGCACACCTGAGCACAGCGCCCACTGCCCCCTGCCTTCCTCGTGTGCATGCCATGGACATCACGCACAGGTGTGCACGGACACACCTGCACTGGCACCTCCGCTGGCAGCGACTCACACCTGCCCACGTGTGCAAGTGCCCCTCCTCCCCAGCTGGCGGGCCCTGGGTTGGGGTGATGGGGCGAGCCCACCAGCCTGCCCGCCCTTCTCCCAGCACCAGCCAGGGCCGCCGTGGGTGGGGAGAGAAGGAAGGATGCTGGTCTCTGCTGCGAGGACAGGCCAGGGAAGGGGGGTGTCCACAGTGTAGGTGTCCACAGTGTCACCAGGTGAGGGGGTGACCTGCCTCTGTCCTTAGAGACCTGGCAGCTGGGGTCCTCAGCTTTATTGTGCAGCAGGGAAAGCTGAGGTTTGGGGTGCCAGGTGACCTCCCTGAGGCCTGCTGGTGGCCTGTGCCCGACTGTGGGACCTGTTCTTTTCAGGTCCTGGAGGTGCACGAGAACCTGGACCGGCAGCTCCAGGACAGCTGTGAGGAGGACCTGAGTGAGAAGGAGAAGGCCATCGTCCGTGAGATGTGCAATGTGAGCCACTTCCCGGGGCTGGGGGCAGGGGCCTGGCACCGGCAGGGTGACCTGCCCAGCATGGCCACACCCTTCCCTGTGTAGGACTCCACTAGCACCAGGTGTCCTGGGTGGCTGGGGGAGGCCTTGGAGACCCTGGAGCCCAGGCGTGTCGCCGCTGCCCCTGCCTCTCCCAGAGGTCCCTGGTCTCTGCAGATGTCTTCCTCCCCTGGGGAGCCAGGCAGAGCCTGCGCTGGCCCACACCCCGGGACTGGCCTTGTCCTCCCAGCTTGCTGGTGGCCCTGGTGGCTGCCGGCTAGGCAAGGGGTGCCCAGAGCTGGTGGTGCAGGTGGTGGGACCCTTCTAGAAGCAGGGCTGTCTCTGGGTCTGCCCAGGAGAACCTCTTCCCTGGCCCACCTGTCCACTTGGGGGAGCCAGCAGGGCAGCGGTTTCACGGGGTCTGACCCTGGGGTCCTGATGCCCCCACACTGCCTCTGGGGTCTGTGTTCCCACTGGGCAGCTGTAAGGCTGAGCCACAGCCCTGCAGTGACCCGCCCAGGGGGGCAGGTGTGAGGTGAGGGTGGACGTGCACAGACCTGGTCTGACCAACTCTGGGCCTCTGGCGCCTCAGTTTCCCCTCCTGGCTCCACGGCTCTGGGGACATGGGCGATTCTGCAGAGCACTGAGGCAGCAGGTGGCTCGGGGCAAGCCCTCCACTCACATCCCGCCCTCCCACAGGTGGTCTGGAGAAAACTGGGAGACGCCGCCAGCTCCAAGCCCTCCATCCGGCAGCACCTGTCTGGGAACCAGTTCAAGGGGCCCTTGTAGGGCTGTTCTTCCGCGGGTGTGGGCCGGCCCCGCCTGGGGTCCCCAGGGCGGCTCCAGGCCCCAGACGTGGGCAGGACCTCCGGCTGAGCCACTGTCTTCTCTCTCTGCGGTGAACTGTACATAGGGCCCTGCCGCGGCCGGGCTCGCGGCGGCCGGGCTCGCGTCCCGCCTCCCACACCAGCACACCGGGAAGTGGGCGCTGCTGACCGTCCCCGGGGCAGGCCGGCCGGGACAGCCTCACGCCCCGGGCTCCACGACGAGACGCTGAAGGCTGCTTCTGAGGTGCCAGGCCCAAGGACTGTCCCTGTGCCCTCCACCCCCAGCCGCCACCTGCACTGGACAGAGGCCCCGGCACCTGGGTCCCGATGCAGGGGCGCCACTTTCGCCCGCCTGCCGGCCTGGCCCCGGCCCACCGAGCGCTGGGTCCCCTGTGTCATGGACAGAGACACTCGCCGGTGCACGGCTGGCTGGAGGCTGCTCTGGGCTCTCGGCCCCGTCCCCGACACTCAGTCTGGAGCCAGGGCCCCTCCCCCGCCCGGGCTGTGCCCAGCCGCCCTGATGTCAGCTGCTGCTTGTTTTTAGGGTTCATCACCTCCACCCCCAACACTCTCTGCAGCGTGCCCCCACCCTGTGCCAGGTGTGCCCCATCGTTTTGGGCTTCTCCTGCCCAGTGCCCGAGGCACATCCCTGTCTGTGGTTTCCACCACGGGCCAGCTACCTGGGAAGGTCCTGGGGAGAGTTTCTCGTTCCAGGTGGGTAGCACTGGGCCACAGCTGGGCCTCTGGTCAGCTGTGGCCTCCCCCTCCTGGGTCACTGTGGACAGGGCAGCAGATGACAAAAGTTCTGTTCTCCCTGGGAAGGAAGGAGCCCAACCTGGTTCTGGCTTTAATTTGCTGTGTGACGTCCAGCAAGTCACTCAGCCTCTCTGGGCCCCTGGTGGAAAAATGGGGTCTCCAAGGTTCCTTTCAGCCCTGCTCCCAGTGCAAGGCCATCCAGCTCCAGATGGCCTGGGTCCTCTTTGACAGCACGACCTGAGGGGCCGACCTGCTACAGAGGTGCCGGGCAGGTGGGCTGGGTGGAGCAAGGCCCAAGCTGAGCTCCGCTGCCTCGCTGTCCCATCACAGGCAGACAGTCGCCGCCCCCTCCCCACCCCCCCAGCCCAGTGTCCTCAGCTGCAGATGGGCAGCATAAGCCTCTCCTTACTGGGCTCTGGGGTCACACGAGATTGTCAGTGTCAATGACCACGCAAAGGCAGTGTGTGTGTGAGGAGGAGGAGGCCTAGAGGGGCTAAGCGGTGATACGGCACATTAGGAATGAGATCCCAGACCCTAGGACAGGGACAGACCGCTTTCCCGACATCTGTGAACGCCCTTGTAGCTGGCCCCGGGCACCCCCTGCCCTTCTGTTCAGCTCCTCGCCCGTCAGACTGCTGCGCCCCAACGGTACTTAGCGCTCCGTGCCGCCAGCACGCCAGGAGCCTGAAGAGGTGGTCTTTGTATCAACAGGTCTCATTCAGGCCCAAGCAAGGGGAAGGGGACGGCTTCTCCCTCTTTCTCCCCATCGGGGGACCTTATTCTGAGCAGTTCCCGCTCCATGTCTGCCATCAGCACCCTTGGGTCACACACTCTCAGGGGAAAGGCTCATGCCCTCACTGTGTCCAGGGAGTGCTGAGCGGGTGCTGGCCATGGGCCTGGGCCTGCTGCTCCTGCTGTGGGCATTACCAGAGGTTCCCTGGGCTCCTGGAAGGAGTGTGCTGTCTGTCACTAGAGGTGTGGACTGAAGCTGGATGAACACCTGCTGGCTACGGTACTGGGCGATTCCTGCCCGAGTGGGCAGCTGGACTGGAGGGCAGGGGGAGGAGGCCCCTCTGGGTCTTGGAGTCCAAAGAACCACAGAGCAGCCTGGGGGGCTGTGGGTCCATTTTGGGTGGGGTTTGAGTCTGGGAGCCCACGTGAATCCTGTTTGGATCCGGTTGGCTTGGCCACCACTGAAAGCAATAAGTAAGGGCTCCTGGCACCTGCAGATCTCCTGCAAGTTGGCCAAGGGAGGTGCAGCCTTGAAGCGACCTTTTCCCTCTGGAGGGGAGTGACCCCACCCCTCATGCTGCAGTGGCATCCAGGGATCTTCGAGAACCCTCCTGCCTGCAACGGAGGCAGCACAAGCTGTGCCCCTGAGCCAACACAGCATTGGGATGGTTTTCTAGGACAGAATTCAGTGACAGTCACATCTCAGACATACTAGCTGATTTAAAAAAGCCAGCAGTGACTCTGACCCCAGGTTCCTGGGTGCAGGTGGCAGTTGCAGAGCTGAGCCACAGGCTGGGGAGGGTCAGATGGGACCTCCCACACGGGGAGGCTTGGGGGGCTGCAGCTCAGTGTGACTCCTGGCTCTGCCACCAGCAGGGTGACACTTCCCTTCTGGAGCCTTAGCTCTTAAAGCACCTGATGGGGTGTCCTTTCAGAGAGGCCCCTTTCCATTTCAAGCTCGGCTTGCGCTGGGCTTCAGGTCCCACTGTGACGAAACACACCCTTCCAGCCTCACCCAGGTGGCCCGGCCCATCCTGGAGTCATCAATCTGCTGAGCACATTTTTATCCAGAAGTTATTAGCTACACATCAGTGTTTAAAGAGAAAAAAGTGACCTTTCATTTTTTTTTCTTAGAACTTGAGAAGAAACAAAATACATACTACTGATTTTTCTTTTTTCTTAAAGAAACTAAATGCATGACTGCAGAGGTAGAGGTGTATATTTTTCATACTGTGGGGGGAAAGTATTTGTGCTGCTTTTTGGAGATGGGCTGGAACGTCTGGTTTCTGTCCCCAGGCCCGGCAGCTGTGCTCTATTTTCTGTAGACGTGACTGCGGTGAGACCTGGGGCAGCCCTCCCACCCCAGCACCGTGCAGCGCCAGGGGCCTGGGACTCCCGGCCCGCTTCTACCTTCTGTCGAACCACTTTGATTTGGGGAGAGAAAAAGAAATTGAACTTTTTGATAGTGTGGTAAAAACATTGATTTGAACTATTTTAGTAAAAGGAGTAACAAATAAGATTGTGATAGTGTATACTTTGAGCTAGATAAATAAAGGCCTCTTTGCGAGCCTCCCGGCTGGGTGCTCCATGCTTATTTCCTTTGCGGGTGGCAGGTTGCTGGGCAGACAGGGCAGTGGCCCCTCAAGCTCCTGCCCCAGATGTTCAGCCCTGGCCCCTCAGGTGAATGGTGCAGGCCACTGCCAGTCCAGTTGCCTGTGTCTAGTCACAGCCAGAAATAGAAAGGATTTCCTGACTTTGGGACCCGTGTTTATGCATTCATACTTAAAAGTTCCGAACTGGTTTGGGACTCATCCAGTTCCTCCAAAGAAAACCCGTGCAGACGTGGGATGGTGGCAGGCTGTCCCAGCAGGCAGCTGCCCCAGCCCACCCAGAGGTGCCCTGCTGTGAGGCTGCAGCCAGGCCCAGAGCCCAGGGGAGGCCACATGCTTGCGCAGGTCTCGCAGCCCAGGGGCTGCTAAGGCCTGGAGCCCCACCTCCTGCCCGTAACAAACAGAGGGGTAGTTTCAGAACGGATTTTATTTGGATAACTGACTGAAGGAGTCTCACTTGTAACCAAGATGGAATTCACAGTATGTTGTTACATTCACACTTAAAAAATATATCTTTATGTACAGGAATTTGCAAATAGATGTAAACATACATTACTTTCCAAGTACATTTCTCTCCTCCCTGGAGGAAAAAAAAGCCATCCAACAAGACAACCCCTTCAAAATAATTTTAATACAAAGGATGCAAACATTTATAAATCAAAAACGTGGTTCATCTGACCCTCTGGGTGTCATGGGAGAGAACATGACTGAATAAAAACTATGACAACAGCTTGACTTCAGATGGAATTGGACTATTTAAAATTGAGTTTCCAGGAAAAATAGGCACTGATTTCTAGAAGGAAAAATCACTCCTTACTGAAGCTATTTATTGAGCCAATATGGCTGGTTAACATTTTTACTAGTATAAAGTAACCCAGTGCAGGCCTCTCAGGCGACGTTAGCGGAAACCAAGCACACACGGTCAGACGGCAAGTGGTGCTGCCGAGGCTACAGTGAAAGCTGGCTGCCCCCATCCTCCAGATGTGAGGACCACCCCAACTTCATCCCAGGGGTCTGGTTCCTTCTTTCCATACTGCAACTGTCTAGCATTATACAAGGTACCCTGCTGCTTACCCACTTAAGCTACTCTTCAAGTTGATTAGAAAAACTCTTGTTAAAAAACAAAGGGAAAAAGGCGTCAGGTTATCTCATCCAGGCTGCCCGCCCCAGCCCCCCGACTGGAGGCATGCCAGGTGGTGGGATGGGTGGGGGCACGGGTGGCTGTCCTCCAGGGGGGACAGCGGGAGGTGGGTAGCTAGCCGGTGGCAGGCCCAAGCCTGGAGGAGGGTGGGGTGGAACTGCATGTGTGGGGGGCAGGCGTGGAGGTGGGGGAGGGAAGTTGGGGTTGTAGGTAGGTGGAGGTGGGGGGTAGCCTGGAGTGGGAGGAGGAATGGTGGGTGGGGGGAAGGAGGCTGGGGGAGGGGGCACAGGCGGTGGGGGCGGGTTGGGGGGGTAGACGTGGGGGTGGTAGGGAAGGTGAGCAGGTGGGCCATAGGCTGGGGGCAGGGCACCGTAGGAGGGGCCCTCAGTCTTCATCATGGACTGCAGGCTCTGGTAGCCCTCTCCAGACATGTAGGAGCTGGTGGTAGACATCCCCGTTATGTAGCTGGAGGGGGGCGGGGGCGGGGGCCGGTGTGGCAGCGGTGGTGGCTGGTGCACAGGGGCCGGGTGGGCCGGAGGAGGAATCTGGACTTTGGGGAGGTCACTGGCATCCACTGGGCCTGGTGGCTCAGCCTCACCTAAGGCAGCGGCGAGGGGAGGCTTCCGGTCTGCAGAAGAGAGACAAGTCAGTGTCCGTCCATGGCTCAGTGCGTCTGCTCCCTGTCAAGGGACTGGTAGGCAGTGGTGTCCCCCAGGGCTGTCCTTACAGAGGAGCAGGGAGCAGCATCTCTGGCCCAATGTGTGTACCATCAGGTATCTCCCCCACACCAGTCAGAACAGCCCTCCCCTGCTCCAACGACCCTCCCTCAGCCCTGGAGCCCCCTCTGCCTCAGTTCCCAGCGCCCTCTTCCTCACACAAATGGTACAGGGGCCCCTCCATCTTTCTGCCTGTTTCTGCCCCCAGAGACAGCCTGGGAGCCAGGGCCGCATCGAATTACTGTCTGCAGCGCTGGCATTTTGCAGAAAGCCTGAGAGTTGGTTAAATGAATGCAGTGGCATTTAAAAAATGTACAAGTCTCTGACATTCCCAATGTACTCATCAAAGTAGCAATTCTGGTTCTATTTTACTAAAGAGAAGCTAGATCAAATCCCACTGCATACTCTCAGTTTTCTCAAAACATGAGTGCTTGCACGTATGCGTATATGCATGTGTGTGTGTGTGTGTGTGTGTGTGGCAGGGGCAGGCAGCACGTGGCATTCCTGAGACACTCCTGTGCTCAGAACCCACCAGAGGCCCCTCCTACAGTGCTCCACAGCCCACATTCCCTTCCCCAGTGCCTCATTTGACACATTTCGGCCTGTGATCCCCGAGTCATGGGCAGATCCCTGGAAAATGACATCAGAACACCCCACAAGGGTAGCCAAACACTTAGAATGTGGGTTCTTCCCCCAATATAGCCCAGAAGACAAATCACAGGGAGAAATTTCTGGTTCCAGAAAAGAACACAAAACAGGAGAAGCAAAGGCCATGAAGAGGGTTTCTAGTTCCCCAAGCACCTGCCCCCTAGACAGGGCATGGCACACGCTCATGGTTGTGCAGATGCCAACACTAGGTGCGCAATGCTTTTGTTCTTGGCACAGTGAAGGTGAAAATTTCAGGTTGGCCACAGATGTGTCACTGGGGCTGCCTGTGCCCTACCCAGTCAGAAGACCAGACACACCTGAACTTAGAGAACCTGCCTAGACTCCAGTTCAGGGTCAGGTGCCCTTTGGTTCTAGAAGCTGACTAAAAAGACCCATGTGTGAAAGTGACAGCCCCCTTTGATGCCTCCATGTGTCACAGGAGGCCTTAAAGGGTGCCGGCACGTTCCCACACGAGCTGAAATGCCACAGCAAGATAGGTCCACAAACACACTCTTCCACTTTTAAGAAACCAACTCTCGTGACACTCAAGTCTGTGGCCTCTTCAGTCGCCAGCGTACCCAGCCTTATCCTTTGTGATTGAGCTGGAACAGGATGAGGTCTCCCCTCAGCACCTCCCTTGTGCATACTAGTTCCTGGCACCTGACTGCCACACACTGCCACCAAACCTCACGGGAACTGCAGCTCTCTCCTTTCTTCACTGCCCACCTTTGCTGCTGCCTTGACCTAAAGAGGTGCTCTGGCTACCGGGCTCTGCTCTCCCCAGCCACGGCCCCCAGCAGCTGTCTGGGGGCGCTCCTAGGTCCCACTCAAGTCCCAGTCCCGCTCCTAGTCAGCCACGGTGGGAGCTCAGGCAGACTGCTGGAGCCCTCAAGCACGGGCGGCAGTACTGCCGGCTGCCCGGCCCCCATGCCACATCTCCTCAGGGGAGACACAGCCACTAGCTCAGGAGCAGGGAACCGCACTTGCTGAGATGCCCCATAAATACTAAATGAGAACTGCAGGCATCTTTTTAAGCAAGGTTCATATTAAATTGGGGACTGTGGGATTTGGCCCAAAGTGGAAAACGATGCCTCTGCTCTCTCAAAGCATACAGACCTCTGTGATTGAATATAAACAGAAAGAAACTTACTCAGCGGCACATCTGCTGCGGGCACACATTGCTATGAGCCACATGTGCCGACCGACAGCGCAGCAGACTGAAAGAGCTGCTGCTGACAGGGCGCAGAGACGTCTCTGGAACTGCCACCAGCTTTTGGAAGACACACATCGCCTTGGCCTTCTCTAGTTTAATGCTGTATCTTCCAAAATGGTGCCCCAGGTAAAGAATGCTGTATTCTTTATAACTTTCCTCCTCTACTCCTAGTGATGTCAGAGACGCTTCTCAGTTCACTGTGTACCTGTTGAGAACTTTTCACTCTTTCATGTACTCGCCATGTGACTCTGAACAATTGCTTATTCTTCAAAATGCACCGAGAAGACATCCTGCCAACAGGAAGCAGGTGTGAGAGAGACTGGAGTCTAGTATCTGCGGCAATCCCGCTTGGATCTGGATAAACGTTCAGCTGGCAGGGTTTTGTTTTCCTAAAACTGATTCTAAAGCCATTTATCCTGTGTACTTCGGCATCTCTGGATGTGAGAGGTCAGAGAATATTCAGATGAACTTAACATTTACAACATCCTCAAAATACCTGGTTTGTAAAAATAAGGACAATTTTTGCAAAATCCTTGCTCATGGCTGTCTTTTAAATCTTGGCCACATAGTCCCCTTTCTGTAAGTTCCAAGGACCTGCCACATCTGTCTTTCAAACAGGTGACAAGGACAGCTGGCCAAGCTGCTTCAGCAGATGCTTACCTGGAGGTGGGTGGGCTGGAGGCAATGGTGGGTGCGTGGTCTCAATTTTGGGGATTTTAGGTGGTGGTGGTTCTAAAAAGAAAAAGTGGATTAAAAAAACCACTCATACCTTTTTATGTGAAAAAGCATGTCATAATGAAAAAAAGGAAAGGAAACTGTACTACCAGAGAGTTCTTTGGGAGAGAAAGAACAGATATGACCAAGACTTTAGGGGAACTTCAGGAAGGCTTCAGCTAAACCACATGCCTGACCCTGTTAAGATAACAAAACAAATCGAATACGAAAGAGAAACCCACTGGTCACAGCCATTTCCACATCCATCTGGTGTCCTCACTGACGACTACGGGCAAGTCCTTCAACGTGAGAACTGCAGAGCAGCATCTCAGCGACCAAGTGTCATCCACCGGCAGTCCTCACGTGTACAGACGTACAGAGACAAGCCGGAGTAGCAAAGGCATGTCACCTGGCCCCTGGTGCTCACAAGAGGAATTTCTACTTTTTTATTTTTAGACATATTTTTATTTTCTCTCTCACAAATACTATTTCCAGCTGGCAACACGTCAGAGGAAGCACACTGACTGGAGT